TCTATTCTATTCTATTCTATTCTATTCTATTCTATTCTATTCTATTCCAGTTTAGTCTAGTATAGTCTAGTTTAGTCTAGTCTATTCCATCCTCACCTGTGATCTGTTTGCTTATAATTAGTGTGAATGTATAAAAGGTCAATGAGTTCCTGGACTCCTTGCATCTTTCACCCAGTGCTGCACTGATGTTTCTGGCTTCTGAGTCACGGGGAAAGCAAAATAATTGTCAAAGGATCTGCAAGAAAAGGTAGATGAACTGTATAAAACAGAAAAGGGATATAAAAAGATATCTAAGGAATTGAAAATGCCAATCAGCAGTGTCCAAACACTAATCAAGAAGCAGAAAATGAGGGGTTCTGTTGAAACCAAACCATGATCAGGTAGACCAACTAAAATTTCAGCAATAACTGCCAGGAAAATTGTTCAAGATGCAAAGGAAAACCCACAAATAACTTCAGGTGAAATACAGGACTCTCTGAAAACATATGGTGTGGCTGTTTCAAGATGCACAATAAGGAGGCACTTGAAGAAAGATGGGCTGCATGGTTGAGTTGCCAGAAGAAAGCCATTATTACTATGCAAATGCCACAAAGTATCCCACTTACAATACACCAAACAGCACAGAGACAAGCCTCAAACCTTCAAAGTCATTTGGAGTGATGAGACCCAAATTGAGCTTTTTGGCCACAACCGTAAACACTATATTTGGAGTGGAGTCAACAAGGCCTATGATGAAAAGTACACCATTCTTACTGTAAAACACGGAGGTGGATTGCTGATGTTTTGGGGATGGGTGAGCTTCAAAGGTACAGGAAATTTGGTCAGAATTGATGGCAAGATGAATACAGTATGTTATCAAAAGATACTGGAGGAAAATTTGCATTCATCAGCCCAGAAGCTGTGCATGGGACATACTTGGACATTCCAGCATGACAATGATCCTAAACACAAGGCCAAGTTGACCTGTCATTGGCTACAGCAGACTAAAGTGAAGGATCTGGAGTGGCCATCTCAGTCTCCTGACCTCAATATCATTGAGCCATTCTGGGGAGATCTCAAACGTGCAGTTCATGCAAGACAGCCCAAGAATTTACAGGAAATGGAGGCTTTTTGCCAGGAAGAATGGGCAACTTTACCATCTGAGAAGATGAAGAGCCTCATCCACACATACCACAAAAGACTTCAAGCTGTCATTGATGTTAAAGGGGCCAATACAACGTATTAAGAACTGGGGTATGTAAACTTTTGATCAGGGTCATTTGGGTAGTTTCTGTTGTCATTATGATTTAAAAAGAGTAAACACAGATTGATAATAAGTGGCTTCAGCCAACCACTAACCATGAGTGAAAGATAAGTTTTTGTGTTATCATTCATATTCTCTGAAAAATGGCCAAGAAATGATAAATTCTGCCAGGGTATGTAAATTTATGAGCATAACTGTATATATTTGACATCTTAGGAACATCAGATGTAGTATTTTCTGTTTCATCTGTTTTGCTATTTTCATTTCCATTGCATTTTTATTGAAGGCCTTCCAGGCATTAATACAGAAAAAAGCTGTGTTCTGTGTTCTGTACAGCTGTACTCTGATGGAGGTTGCCTAGGTGCAATTAAAGTGTCTTGAATGAGTGCAAATTTAACTTCAGAGACAGTAGGTTAAGAGGCAATGGTAGAAGAACTATTCTAGACTGCACTGATATATTTGTAAATAAATAAATATATATTTTGCTCACATCATCCAATAGTTCTTTGCGGTAGTTGAAGACAAAGAGGCTTCCCATTTGAAAGGCAATGAGGCTTACTGACAGCAAACATATTATAGAGTCAGATTTATAGCCTTTTTCTGGTGTTTTCATTGCTTATATTGATGAATAATTTTTCAGTAGAAACTCCTGTAGTTCACAAAGAGTTAATGTGAATAGTGAATATGACCATGAAACTTTGTGTATATGTAAATGAAAGTGTAGCACATGTTTGATTGGGAACAGATTTTACACTTGAAAAATGCATATTAATAATTGGATTATTGTATCCCACTGTTGAGATTTTCTATCACTATGCCTGGATTAACCCCACACTGCTAATCCTGAAAATGACCCAATGGAAAAATGAAGCTATCTTTTTTAAAATAAATGATTCTATTTACAGCCAGGGTTCCATGCAGGCTGCCAATAAAGCCATTTTGTGGGTGTTTAAATGTTTAACTTTCTTTTAAGATCAACTTAAAAATAATCATATTTGACTATTTCCAAGGCTTTTTATAGAAGATTGAAAGCACAAAGGGTTGGGGGAGAAAATAAACTCTGAATCATATTTTTTTTCCTTTCCTGTTTCACTTTTCTGTGATTCATTTGTGAACTTGAACCTGAGAAAAGTTGACACTTCCAGGAATTGCCATTTTCTATCACTTATTTCAATTTTGTTTGTATTTATATTTCTTTTTCTTCTACTAAGAAAATAAAGTTTTGAAGCCCTTAATATAACACGTCTATCTGTTATTTGCATCAGGGGAGAAGAAGAGGACTATGCAAAGACTAGGACCCAGATTCAATCATCATGCTAAAGATAAATGATATAAATAAACCAAATAACCTTCTGTACTCATTTCTGCTTCTTGCACAGCTGTTAAAAGCACAGAGAAGTAGCCAGGAGAAAAGAGACCAATATTACTGATTCTGAAGCATCTGAAGATGTACTCATTAGCGTCCTCCTCCTCCTCTTTTCAAGGACTCCATTTGGTGCCATATCTTAGCAGCAGATCAATCACTGCCCTTAAGCCATATATATTTTAGGTCTCTCAATCACCATGTCATGGATTCAGAGGTGACTAACCTGGCTTGTTCATTGTGCCTGCTGAATCCCTTTTTCTCCTCTCCTCTACTGCCCTCAGAAAGAAGAAGGAATGAAGTTGTGATTTATGGTTCAAGAATGTAAGAAATATGAGGTATTTCTCAGTCTGGGCCAAACTGGAAAATATGGGTTGAGTGAATCCACTAAGTTAAATGATAAAACAAATTCAACTTTGAAATAGGTTAAAAAAAAACCCAGCATGAATTGGAATAAAATATTTGAGAGGAAGGCTATAAGAAAATAAAATAAAGGAGTACATGAGTGCATTAATTGATAGGTCTGGACCAAATGTAAGTTTCCTCTCCCCTCTTAAAATTCCTACTTAAAATTCTGGAACAAAAAAAAATTGTGTATCTGGGGGAAAAAAGCAGCATATCTGACTGCCAAGAAACTGGTTGCCTGACAATTCAAATGCCAGCTAGCACATTTCTGTTCATCTAATTTCTGGAAATGCAAATATTGGCATTCAACATTCAGGCTTCCATTTTATGCATCTATTGAGGTCAAGAGAATTATTTTAACTTTCATAGAAGCTATTACTGAACTCCTGGAATTCTGCAGTTTTGCTCTCAATAGTGTCATGTTCTTTTCAGGAACAATATTAATTCAGAAGGAAAAGAAATGACTGAGAGAGGTGACAAGTTGCTCCTTGCTCAGCATATTTAAATTTGCAAACTTACTGTTATATTTTATATAGCCACTTATGGTTTCCCGTTCAGTAGTCCTTTTTCTTGCCCCAGTACTATTACAGTCACAAGCTTAAAACAAAACAGTAGAAATGTAATGCTGCAGAACTTTATGAGCAGATATATTTGGTCGACTGATACATAGCTGATAAAATGTAACTTCTGCAATACATAGACACACACACACACACACACACACAAACTATTATATTTACTCCATTAGATCATCACTTGAGTATTTTTCTATAATATTATTATAAATCTTTTATTAAATGATGTACTGTATAAATATCTTTTAGAGTCTAGTTTTGCATTCATTTCTGTATTACATTGCCCTGTATTTCCATAACTGTTCTCATTTGCAGAGGTCCCACTCGCCATCTTCAGGCTGGTGCTTTCAGCTCGTGCTTGTGTGACCAAAGCTTGATCAGAGCTGCCATCTCCCTATATATACCACCAGTAAAAATATAGGGAGACGGCAGCTCTGATCATGCTTTGCTCGCACAAGCACAAAGTCGCCAAAGTTGCCACTAGGAAATTGTTTAGGTTTTCTTCTCCATGGGGCCAAATCACAAATGTGTCATCGATGTATCTTAAGCATAGTTTGGGTTTGTGGATGGCATTGGCCAGGGCTCTGGATTTGAATTCTTCCATGAACAGGTTTGCAATGACAGGTGACAGTGGTGATCCCATAGGGGCTCCTTCAATTTGTTTGTATCTTTGTCCTTTCTATATGAAATATGTGTTGGTTAAGCAGTGTTCTGTTAGTTCCATGAG